CGACTTTGAGTTGGCGCTTTGAGTTGGCGCTTTGAATTAGCGCCCAAAGTCGAAGTCAAAGTCGAAGTTGGCGCTTTGAATTAGCGCCCAAAGTCGAAGTCAAAGTCGAAGTTGGCGCTTACTTCGACTTTGAGTAAGCGCCAACTCAAAGTCAAAGTCAAAGTCGAAGTTGGCGCTTACTTCGACTTTGTAAGCGCCCAAAGTCGAAGTCGAACTCAAGCGCCAGACTTCGACTTTGACTTTGAGTTCTAACTTAAAGTTGGAGTAAGCTGTTACCATAGCTCAATGGCTTATATACAGAAGGACTGTAATGTAGTCCCCGCGCCATTGACGGGGGAAAAAAATCAATCGGAATTCATAGAGCCTCAACAGGGATTCGAACCCTGGCCTTTTGATAATATACGAGGGTCCCCAAGAGGCATTTGTATCAAATGCTCTACCACTGAGCTATTGAGACATATTAATGAAGGTGCTTGACTACATTGAATGTTGGAGTGCCAAAAATATTTCACCAACAACAAACTAACTTACAGCCTCAACAGGGATTTGAACCCTGGCATTTTGATAATGTATACGACATCAGTCCTAGCCACATCATATCAAGCGCTCTACCACTGAGCTATTGAGGCTATACATGTTGAAGTCATGCTGTTACAGAGAAAGTTGAAACTGGAAGTCGAAGTGAAAGTCGAAGTCGAAGTCGAAGTGAAAGTCGAAGTCGAAGTCGAAGTGAAAGTCGAAGTCGAAGTCGAAGTCGAAGTGAAAGTCGAAGTCGAGGTCAAAGCAGAAGTCAAAGTCGAGTGTGGGAATGAATTAGACGCCCACTCCTGCTCGTACCAATTCACCTGTAGAGGGTGCAAATTATAATTATATTGGCTGGAAATAGTGTAGGATTACTGCTATGAGATAGCTCTACCTGGGGATATAACTTTTATAGCAAGTAATTTTTCCCCAATTAGTGTCAACGCTGCTCAGAAGAGAGTAATGCCTTTCCACCAGGTCTGCCTTTCCATAGATAAAATGAGGTTTTTGCTATGGATTGGACCTCAAAATGATATCAATATTGACCAAACTACTGCAAACCAGACATAAATGCAGGTTTTGAACTGATTTAGGAAGACTGGAGTTCCGGCTGGATTGCCTTTCCAGGCAAAAAAGCACTCGAGAGGCCCAAAACGCTAAGGGAAAGGGCATGCCCTTTCCGGGTGTAATATAGTTAGGAAACTTGAATGTCAATGAGGAGCAATTGCAGCGTTCAAGAAGCGCTTTGGATGGCTACATATGGTTGCCAGGCTCTGTCAGACGAGTCATCCAGCGTAGGAAACGGATGGAAACTCACTGAGATACGAGGCAACCTGCCTCATGGTTCCAGGTGGGAATAAATTCAGATGTCGGTGAGGAGCAGATACAGTGTTCGACAAGTGATTTGAATGGCTATATATGGCTGCTAAGCTCTATCAGAGAGCCCTCCAGCATAAAAAACGGCCAGAAACTCACCGAGATATGAAGCAACCTGCCTCATGGTTCCAGGTGGAAGGAAAATTGAATGTTGATGAGGAGCAAATGAATCGTTTGGAAAGTGATTTAGATGACTATATATGGCTGCTAAGCTCTATCAGATGAGCCCTCTGGCGTAGGAAACGGACAGAAACTCACCGAGATACGAGGCAACCTGCCTCCTGGTCCCAGGTGGAAAGAAAATTGGATGTCGACAAGGGTTAAATGCAGCGTCCGTGCTCATAACATTCTAAAGCTTGTTGAGGGAGATGTTGAAGCAAAGGTAATGATGAGGAAGCATGTGAGAAAAACAAACACGTGCATGGAAATACATATGCTCACATATCAAAACGTCTTGTATAGCCAAGGGAAGGTCTTTTTAGCCCATTGGAAGGATTTACGTGAAATTTTTCAGGGGCAGAGAAAGAGAGAAAGACATTGCAGCAGGAATCTGCAAGACGTTTGCAGGCAGCTATAAAGAACTATATACAACGCGGCATGACAAACAACATGAGGCTGGAATATATATATAATACAGTCTTTTCTGAATCTCTCGCTTTCCTTTATCCGTCATACTTTCACTAAGATACTACTGTGCTTGTTGAGGCTATTATGGCTCCTGCATGTTCTTCATTAGGATCATTATCCCAGCTCTCGGGGTCCTCCTGGCTTGGTTCAGCCATCAAGATGAAGCTGGCTGCGGTGCTTTCAGATTTCATAGGGTGTGCATCTCTGTTACTCTTTTCTCCCATTGGAGCTGTCTAAAAACACATTGTACATCTGGATACATTCATTTGCTCCCGCTCATCTACTGTTCTAAATTGCTGGAGTTCTTGTGCACGCCTGACGGGCAAAAGCCGAGAGACCGGGAGATTCGGGGCGAATGAACGAGAGATGAGATACAGCCGTCACCAGTCACTGATCAGGTCACTGATCGTCACTGTGACTGGCTACGTCTCTTTCCCGGTCGTAAGCTTTACTTCTCCGAGTTTGGGCATGTACAAAATATACAAGTGTCCATGGACCCCACGTTCATTCGATTCTTCACCGACCGACGATGGAACTGCAAGATATATCACAAAATCAATCACGACGGCGCCGCATCTATCTTATTGCTCTCCCAAATCGTCACATTAGCCACACCAAATTCCTTTGCATCTGCCATCCCATCCACCTTTCCTATCGCCAGATATATATACTGAGCTCCCCATGCAATCGGAGTTCCCACCCCTACTTCACCCTCAATACGATACATCAAGCTCAATGGTCCTGTTTATGACGGTGAAGCCCCAGGCTCTCAATCTCCTTTGATACGGACTTTTGAACTCCCTGAATTGGGAGAAGACAATGTTTGGCAACCGGCTCCGACTCCGGATTGGGATTGTTTCTAACGTTGTTTCCGACCATGAGCGAGATTTCGCCGGCGGTAGAAGACAGTTCTTGGAGATCGTCTTTATTATCACAGGATATTCTACGAAATTCTCCATCACCCATAACGTGTTTACCTCCAGCTCCCAGTCCAATCTCAACACGCACGATAGAGTCCGATTGGGATACCTCGACTCCAAACTTATCACCAGCTAATTTCGACGACGCAAGGTATGATAGTGCTAGTCCATTCAATATGCTTTTACTTGACATGAACGTCGAATCCCCAGAGAATCACAAGAGCAACCCTGGCAGGCTACCTTCTCCCAACACGCTGGTACAATCCCTTGATTCCCGTTCATCCCACCTTCTTCTTGATTACTCTCTTTCCGATATCCCTTCATATGTCGACTGCCCCGGGTACACTGTCCTTCGCGCTCAACCCGACCTATATCAGGATCTTTCCAGACTCCTTGCCCTGCACAGGAAAGCACAGGCATCTGAGAAGGAGGCGAAAATTAGGAAAAGAGCGCTTGTAGCTCAAGTGGAGTTGACCGATATGTGCAGTGCCGGAGAAAAAATAGCGTCAACAATGGACGTAGCTCCGGTCAAGCTTCCATCGTCGTCATTAGTAGTAATTGAGGTAGAGAAGGCAGAAGCAAGAGCTACGAGGAAATGCGAAAAGGAGAGACGTCGGGAGGTCGCTGCAATTATAGCATTAACTCCATTTCGTCTTCATCTGCATCATGTTCAAATCACGTCAGACTCAATGTCAATGTCCTGTCACGATTCACTGAGCGTTCCACAAGATGATGATACATCTTTAGCAATAAATGCCGAGGCTGTTGAAGAGATTCCGCTGGAGCCAACCCCTGGTCAAACAAGCGGCGTGAACTGGGAAGTATACGTTGATGGAGGCAGTCAAAATTTGATCGGGGTGTGGTTGAAAGCGTCGGAAATGGGGATAATGGACAAGCAGCATGGAGCAATAACGAGGGTCTCGAAGGTACGCTTGTCGTCCCTTTCCTTCTACATATACTGAGTACTGTAGCAGAAGATGGGCTGCTCAGCGACGACGACCCGGGCTTCCAAGATGATCACCCCTAAGAACCTGAAGGTGTTGAAGACGACAGAATGGTGTTGGGTCCGAAAGTGGGTTCGACCCCTCCTGCTACTGCTCGTGCCTGTCTCGCGCGTTTCAATATATCAGTCGAGCCTCTATATCACCTGACGGAGTGCAATAAACTAACACAAGATACGAACACGTACATGCACACCAATGGCAGAAGCACTACAAAGGGCTGATCCTTCCACCTGAGCTTCGTCTCCCTAGGAAATCTGAAATACATTCCTACCTAGTCATCCTTGATGCTGACAATCCGAAACTAGTCCCATGCAAACCAATCGCTCCCATTCAAGGTATCGAGATCGCAAACGAATACAAGTGCATGGCATCTGATTGTCACGAAGCAGTTTTTGGCTCAGGTAAGTCTTTGAGAAGACACCTGCTCGAGACTTATCCAGAGGTTCAAGTTGGTGACCGTGTATCAGCTTGGGTCCCCTGCCAGCCCTTGTCAGTGTTTCAAAAGGACTTGCACTACGTCAAAATCATTCCAGAACTGCAGCGCAGTTCGTCCGCCCTACGTTCAATCGTAGAAGCTGCCGAAGATTGCAACCTTCCTCGATACTCCGAAGTGTTCACCGTCGCCTCTAACGAACGCGAGAAAAACGCCGTTTTTGCTCAATCGCGCCGGGGTGAGTTACGGTGTCAATATAGCTAACCTCTCTCGTTCTATCTCTACATCTGAAAGGCAGACTTCTAGTGCTTGTTCGACATTTTATTGCCTCCAGTGATCCAAAGTACGCCCGTAACTCTGAATATTGATGATATTCTTACGTTTCCCCAGTGATCTCAAACATAAGCCATTTCGTCGCCCTCAGGAGCTCAAAACCATCGTCAAAGACTCCAATCGAAATGCCCAATTCCTTGCTTTCCTCATAACTACCATCGACACTCCCATTGCTCTGTTCCTCTCCATCCTCGACTCGAAGCACAGTTGGAATCTCTTGTGTCAGAACTCGAGGGCGAAATTGCCTGCAACTCCAGGCTGAAGGACTTATTCCACGAGTCCGTGTGGCTTGTTCTATCTTTACCCAACGATGAATATATCCGGAATGAACTTATGTGTCCCTTCACTTGCTTTCTCATTGCCATGAACCTCAAAGACTCGTTATAATAAGATTGTTCTGCTACTTGATGCCTCAACGAACACGATCTATCCTCTATGGCGATGCTACAAAAGTCATCCAGACATCATTCATCAGTGGGCACACGGCAAAAACGAATTTTTAAGAAAGCCCAGCGGAAGAATCTCCGAATGGCGTTCAAGCGTTTGATGGGAGTAATAGTATTGATAGCAACGCCAGAAGGAAGAAAGGCACCGACCTTAACAACACTATGACATGTACCATAGGTTATCTCGAAGATCGGGTAAGTAACGTCGCCCGGACTTCCTCTTCTCCAGGATCTTCAGGGAACATTGGGTCGGATTTTTGAGTTACGACCTAAACGCGAGCGCAGATATCAGGCGAGTTGTTGGAATCAGTCAGCTGGACACTCACCTCAAGACAATTCCATCCCTGATCTCGCGCTTTCTCAAAGAATTCCATGTCACGATGGGCAAGATGTGGTCGATGGTGCGTGTAAAATACGAGAACGGATGGAGTGAGGAGAGAAGCTGTCAATGAGGCCTCGGTCGCTTCGTCGTTGGAAGGAGATCTTGACGTTGTTGGTGATGGTTTGAGAGAAAAATGGCTGGTTTTGAGGAGGGCATCATGCTAGCAAAGTTTTCAAAAGATAAAAAACCGCAAATTCAACGAACGTCTTAGGATCTCGGTGAGTTGATTATCTACTTCAAAACACCACTCCGTAATCGGATTGAACCAACTATTTTGTTACCTCATCATAGGATGCTCAACGGTTTCGGAGGCTCTGCAGATTTCCTAAGACCATATCGTGAGCCGTTTTTTCGTTCAGTAGAAATCTGCGAGTAATATTTTGTTGTGAATGTTTGTAGGATAGTAGCCGCCGACCTGCTTAGGCGCTCTCTGCTTAGAACCATCTCGACAAAGGTAGAACACGGGTACGATTGTGGCCATGGAATGCATGCTCTGTAGTCTGGAGATGAAGATTGCACCTGAATGATGTGAGTCCGGTGTTCATGATTATTTAAACATCTTCGTCCTGTTCAGGGTCCTCCTTGTTTTGATAACGTTGAATAACCCAATGTTCATGAGCAGGCCATAGATGATAACAGAGTTAGCACCGTGCTTGGTTTAACAGACCAATGATTGCATCAATTCTGGCCTCACCATCAAGTGTTATCTATACTGCGAAAATGGCATAAACACTACACGATTCACGGTGGCATGTTCGGCTTGAACAGACTTGTACAATCCAGAGGGGCTGAGATCATTATTCCCCAATTGCTTCTGGACACAGCTGACATTTCGCTAGTGGATAGTACTACAGTCAGATCGGAAAGCGGGTGGACGAAAACATTGAAATGTCATTGCGCAATTTCATCACCAAACGACGACACGCTGGAGTCTGTGATAAGTATATAACGCCTTGGTTTATTACATGCAATTCCGGCTTCCAATTTCCCAAGCTTTCACCAATCTCTTGGAGTTATGTCTCAACTCAAGGGAGGCGAACAAAAACGAGCTGGTTCAAATGAGGACAATGTGAATGAGAAAACCAATTCCAACGTTGAAATCGAACTCGCACATGGCCTCAGCACTCTTCCAAACTCAATCGACGAAACAACTAAAACCACAATCTCAGCCCTCTCCGAAGCCGATAATAACCCATTCTTCATCCCCAGTCTCGCCTTCACCCCCTCCGAAGAATCCAAAGTCATCCGCATCCTTGACACGCGTTTGTTTCCATGGGTTCTCCTCACTACGTTCGTGCTGAACATGGACCGGACTAATTTGTCAAACGCAATTTCAGACAATCTTCCGAAAGACTTGGGGTTCACGACAAATACGGTGAACCTTGGGACAGCGATTTATTCGGTATTGTTTAGCCTGGCATGTTTGGGTGGAGCGGTGGTGTGTAAGATTGTTCATCCTGCAAGATGTGAGTATAATTTTACTCCAGGCTGTGGGTGATTCAATGTTAACCTCAGTTTTGTAGGGATACCGTTTTCTATGTTCTGCTGGGGCTTGGTTACAATGTCACATGCATTAATTAAAGATAAAGGTGGATACCTGACTGGTAAGTAAGCCTTTCATATCCCTTTCCATCCCTCTCAATCTAAATCTCTCTCCACTCATGTAAGTTCGTTGCAGTGAGTTTCCACTTACTTCTCTGGTCTTGTCCTTACTGCTTACCCTCAATTCGTGTAGTGATAGCTGTTACAGAAGGTGGCGTAATTCCCGCTACTCTTATTTACCTCGGCTCCTTCTACCGCAGCACCGAGCTCGCTACACGTCTTGCGTGGTTCTGGGGTGTTCAAACTATCGCCAGTGCTGTCAGCGGGCTTATGGCTAGTGGATTGTTGCAATTGCAGGGTGTGTCAGGACTAGAAGGTTGGAAATGGCTCTTCCTGGTCGACGGCATCATTACAGTGGTCGTTGCGGTGTTGACTTGGTATGTGTCAGGATCTCTTGAATTCGAGTTTTGAACTGAACTGAGGCTAGGTTCTACCTTCCGCGAAACGCCACACTCACTAAAGGTGGTATCCGCGGATGGAGACCGTGGTTCAATGAAAGGCAGGTTCGGATTGCGGTTACGCGAATTGTACGGGATGATCCTTCGAAACGGCTTTATGAGTGCGTATACTTGATAGCAGCCTAGTCGCGTGCTCGCTTTCTAATTGTACAATTATCCAGGCAACGCGTGCATTGGGAAGACGTCAAAGACGCTGCAACCGATCTTGGTTTATGGGGACATCTCCTTATCACTACTGTTGGACTCACACCGACGACTCCTCTCGGCGTATGTAAGTCATCGAGTCACAATTATGTAACGTTTGAACTAATGGCCCATCTCGTAGACCTTCCATCCGTTATCAAAACATTCGACTTTTCTATATTCGTAGCCAACGCTCTGACAGCGCCGCCGTACATATTACAGTGCTGTATGACGGTTCTGTTCATTTGGCATTCGGACAGAATTAGAGAGAGAGGGTTTCATGGGGCTTTTGGAGGTAACTGGCAACTTGTTGATCTTTTATATGTCCCCTACACCTTTTTGACATCTCGAGACCTTCTCAAGCACGAAATCATCTTGATACTTTTATGATTTGTCCCGCGTCAATACTGATGACCTTCCTTCTTGAAATCTAGCAATCTGGCAACTCGTTGGATGGATCTTACTTCGTTGTTTGCCTTCGAATACGAGCAAAGGCGTCAAGTGAGGACTCTCGTTCACCAAATACCTTGTACTTATGTGACTACTCAGATATTTCGCTGCGCTTCTGGTTGCTTGCTGGCCATACACCCATCCTTTAAATATCGCATGGATGTCCGAGAATACAGGGCAAGTCGCACTACTTTTACGTTCTCTGTGTGTACTCATATTGTAAAATGTAAACAGGAGCATCGGGAAACGAACCCTCGCCTCTGGCTGTGTCATCTTCGCCGCCAATATCTACGGAGTCTGGGGCTCACAAATCTATCAAGCTAAAGACGCACCAGATTACCATACCGGAAACACTATCAATATCGTATTTGCTGGTACCGCAGTATGTTTGTGGTTTGTGCAGAAGGGGTACTACAAGTATCGGAACGCTCGGAATGTAAGGGTCTGGGCGGAACTTGGTGAAGATGCACGGAAGAGGGAGGAGATGTTGCAGGAGGAGGAGGGGAATAGAAGTATATTGTTTAGATTTACGACTTGAGACTTCAAACGTTCATGATATAAAAGTGCACAAGATACTATTTGCGAGGAACGGGAACCAAAAAAAACTACGCTTCGGAAGATCTAGAACAGCAAAACAGATGCTCCAAAGTTAGCACCGACGCCAGCAGGATTTGAACCTACGCCCTCAAAGAGGAACAGATACCAACCTTCGAATCTGTCGCCGTAACCACTTGGCTATAGCGCCATTAGATAATGACCTTTATGAACATCTAGATTCTTGTGAGTCCTTTCTAGTTGTGAATTATGATCCTGTATGGATTTCGAACTGTAAATAGGGAGAATGAGAGAATGCGGCGATCTCTGCAGAAAAAAGAGCGCAGGCAGTGACACCACTTCACGGGGGCGTGGGAGGTGTATGTGGCCGAGGGCCTCCGAGGGTCTTTCGCTGCTTTTCTAATTTCTTTGTCATCAATTTTCGTCTGACCACCTCTTCCGCCTTCAACACCGGTAAATACGAGTGGAGAGGCTCAGAAATGCCCGTTAGTCGTACTACAACAACCACACCGGCCACACCAACAGCACAACAACCCAGCCAAGTATCTATTGGAAAAAAGCCGATGACATACAATCAGACTCAACAAGCTCAGCAACAGGCGGCACAGGGACAACCAGGACAACCAGGACAACCAGGACAACCGGGACAGCCTCGTTCAGCACGGGCGGCGTCGAAAGCGCCGATGAATCCTAATCAGAACCAGTCTTATTCGAATAATCATCATCCGAGTGGCGGCAATTCGAATAGTTCCAGCACAAATTCCAAGGGTCGGCCCCCAGCGACGTCGGCCAATGGCACGAAGAATACTAGTGCTCATAACAGCAAGATCTGGTCGAACAGCTCTCTTGAAGAACGCGAACGAATTAAAGATTTTTGGTTGGGTCTAGGGGAAGAGGAACGACGAAACCTGGTCAAGATTGAGAAGGATACGGTGTTGAGGAAGATGAAGGAACAACAAAAGCATTCTTGCAGTTGTGCTGTTTGTGGCAGGAAACGGTTGAGTCTTTTTTCCTTCTGTCTTCTTTTGGTTTTACAAAGAGAAAAACTGATTATTGATCATCAGTAACGCCATCGAAGAAGAACTAGAAGTGCTATACGATGCCTACTATGAAGAATTAGAGCAATACGCTAACTATCAACAACGATATGTTTCTTCTGGTGGTACAATTCCTCCTCCGCCCGGACCAGGACCTTTCCCTGGTTCCGTCGAGCTCGATAAAAATGGGGCAGTTGTCGGGCATCCCGGACATCCACAACACGTTGCTCCTCATAATCATCGACCCAACAACGCCAACGCCAAAGTCATCAGAGGTGGAAAAGGACAAGTTCAACCGCAGCGTACCAATATTCCTGTTAACGGTCGAGGAAAGTCGGGAAAACATCCACCACCGGAATCTGAATTCGATGACCCGGACGATGATCCAAACGTCGACCCAGACGCTGATCTCGAGGACGACGAGTATGAGGAAGAGGATGACGACGGTGAGGATTATGAGGAAGAGGACGAAGAGGACGAGGAAGAAGATCCTGATCCTGATCCTGACGATGAAGAACTCAGTCCAAATCCAAATTTACCTGCACATCCGGGGGTGAATGGTGTTGGAATTGGTCGTGGACGAGGAACTCCCGTACGACCTGGAACAACGCCACAATTAGGTGTAAGAGGTGGTGCAGGGGGCGGGAGGGGCAGAGGCCGTGGTGCCGAGTCACCATTGAATGGAACTGAGAATGGGAAAAATCAAGGAAGAAATGGTCTATTCAATCTGGGCAGTAGTCTTACTGTTACAGGTGTGTATCGACTACCTTTCTTTCATTTTCCTACCCACAAATCCTACCTTTTCGTTTCTGATCAATATCAGATGATCGATGAACTTTTTTGATGGAAGGGTCGTGTGCACGTTCCAAACAGCACTTTTCCTCCCTTTATCTTTTTCTTCAAATAGCGTCGTCGTTGTAGATGTTCATTCTCACTTACTCCACATCTCGACGATTCTCCTGCTATCATTCATACTTCTTTTTCCCATTCTTTCCCTGCATATTCATTACTCCCTCGTCGTCATGCTCATCTTCCACCTCCGTCCAATTTGCTCGATTTGCTCATATCACACAAACTCTCTTCACAGGTCCTGGCAACATCCTCACTGTAGCCGACGATCTTCTGAAAAATGATGGTCAAAAATTCCTTGAGATGATGGAACAGCTGGCTGAACGAAGGATGCAGCGCGAGGAGGAAGCTGTAGGTGACCTTGAAGACGACTCGGAAGATGAGGAAGACGAGGACGACGAGGATGGCGGTGAGGATGAGGAGGTCCTAGGATCAGAAGATGATGATGAGGATCTGGACAGAAGAAGGCGACGGAGGAGACAAAGAGATGTGGAGGATGAAGGCAGCGATGATGAAGAAGATGAGGAGGATGAGGATGAGGAAGACGATGAAGAAGATGAAGACGATGAGGAAGAGGAGGTAAGTACGGTTCCTTCTGTCGGTGGTCTTATTCATGATCGTTCCCATTCACCCGCTCCTCTTGCGGGCTTTTTGGAACCGGTGTGAGATTTTTGTGCTCATCCGATGCCAGTGATTTCATCCATTGCGTCCGCTGATTGCTTCCAAATTTCCCTTTTTCGCTCACAGGTTATGACGGAAGAGCAGAAAATGGAGGAAGGCAAACGCATGTTCAGTATCTTCGCCGCACGTATGTTCGAGCAGAGGGTTCTCAGAGCCTATCGTGAAAAGGTCTCATCGTTCCCTTCTTTTCTGAAATTCCATCCTGATATTCTATGGCTCGTTCCACAGGCCGCCCAAGACCGTCAGTTGCAATTCTTGCGGGAGCTCGCAGACGAAGAGAAGTCGAAAGAGGAACGTGAGGCTAAGAAGCAGAATGCGAATCAGAAGAAAAAGGATAAGAAAAAGTGGGTTTTCGATCTTTCGATCTTCTTTACTTCGATACTCACTATTCTCGATTTCCTAGGCAACAAAAACTTGCCAAGGAATCTGAAAAGGCTCGTCGGGACGCTGAGAAGATTGCTTCCGAGAACGCCGCGAAAGCCCAACAAGCCGCCCTCGAGGAAGAACAGCGTAAGAAGCGCGAACAAGAACGTGTGAAGCGCGAAGCCTTTCGAAAAGCTCAAGAACTCGAAAAGGCAAAGAAAGAGGAGGAGAAGCGGAAGAGAAAGGAGGAGGAGAGGAAGAAACGGATGGAGGTCGAGAAGGAACGAGAGAAGGAACGGGAGAGAAAGAGGAAGGAAGCGAAGGAGAGGGAGGCAAAAGAAGCTAAGGAAGCTAAAGAGAGAGCGGCTGCCCTGGCTATTGAAAAGGAGAAGAAGGATAAAGAGGAACGGGAAAGGAGGGAAAAGGAGGAGAAAGAGAGAAAAGCTAGGGAGGAGAAGGAAAAATCAGCGGAAAGAGAACGACTGGAGAAGGAACGCGAACGGAAAGAGAAGGAGGCTCGAGAGAAGAAAGAGAAAGAGGATCGTGAACGCGAGTCGAGGGAGAAGAAAGCTGCGGCAGCGGCTGCGGTGGTCAACCCTAAACGCTCCATATCGGGTTCCGGACCTCAATCCCCGCGGGCTTCGGGCTCAGGTTCAGGCTCAACTTCTCCTTCGAGAATCAACCTAAACGGGGTATTGAAGAAAAACCTGAACGCCACCGGGAAAGCCTCTCCAGTTGTCCTCTCAGTCTCTGCCCCCTCTCTCTCTACTCTCATTCCATCTCTGTCGTCTGCTCCTGTGTCAATTCCTGGACGACCTCTCCATCCAGGACAACCACAGTTCCAACATCAACAGCAGCCTGGCATCGGAGGTCCTCAGCAGAATCATCTTTCTTCACCACGTCCCCTAGTTGCAAATATGTCTTCCTCCATGTCCTCGGGTCCGGCGACTCCCATCGCTTCCCTCCTTGCACCCAATGCACATATGCATATGGGACTTCCTACGCAAACTCCAGTGTTCGGGCAACCGCTTAACATAGGTAGTATCCCTCATCAAGCTCCCGGCCTTTCACCACGGGTTCAGCACGGACCTTATTCTCCTGCACCGTTTGGTTCTTTTGCTCCAATGCAACAGCAGCAACAACCACCGCCGCCTCATAGTGGTCCATCAGGTCCTCCTCCTGGTCATGGTCTCGCTCCATCGGCTCTTCCCAGAGGTTTCACAGGTTCCGGTCCTGGTGTGCATACCAATGGAGCCAGTCCTTTCGATCCCGCGACCTCGTTCACTAGAGGAATGCCTGGTGCTCCGCCTCCAGCCCCGATTGGTCCACCATTGAAACTCAATACACTTCCCGGCTCTGCATCCGCTGGTCCATCTAGCGCCCTCGCCCCAGGTTCATCTCCGATTCAAGCAACCCAACCTCGACGGATGTCTCTGAATCATCCCGAATTATCTGGTCCCGGACCGATCACTCGACCTATGGGTTCCATTGTACCAATCGGTTCTGGTGCGCCTGTCACGCCGATTGCCCCTATAGCTCGTCCATCAGCGATTATTAATACGTCCTCAACATCGACGTCGGATAGTGCTATTGCAGGGCCAACCAATTCCCTGCCTTCCTCTGGTTCTGGCTCTCCTGTCCGTAATAGTCCACATCCGCGTCGAACCTCGAGCCCCAAGGGAGTGTTAGGCTCCAGTGCGCTCGCTGCAGACGACGACGAGGTGGTCCCGGTTAACAAAGGACGTAGACCCGGGAATGTCAACGTTGGACAAGGATGGGGCCCCACCAGTCCGTCAAGGCCAAGTACGATTGGCAGCGGCGCAATTGACAGGGGTCTCTGGGGACCACCTGCGCCTGTGAATGTCGGGATGAGCATACATAATCCTCTCGTCTCCCCCATTGGGGGCTTTGTCAATGCCCCCCGTTCGGCGGGTTTGTGGGGACCTGGGCTCGTTCCCCCAAGTACTCCTGAGTGGCATCAGTCTTTCCCAAACTCGTTCATAGGCCAGGCTCAAGCCCAGGCCCACACCGGTGATTCGAATGCTACTCCGCCCCCTCAATCGGGGAATTGATGGGAATTTTGCTTTATCCTGGACATCAATCCTTTGTGTAGAGTGTTGGTTATCGAAAAAGTTCCCGTTCTTTTTCTCAGTTACAAATTACGCTGCCGTCACTACATACATATCTCCTTCGATCCGTGCAATATCCACGTGTCTTCCCTTTTTCCTCTTGTCCATCACCCTCACTAATGCTTTTTTTT